TTTAGTTAGACTTTATTTTATAAATGTTGAATGTTTTAGTTTACGATTTTAGATGTCTTACCTAAAATGGGTCATCCATCAATTTGTGGAGGAACTTTATTATCTCATTATCTTGTTTCATATAAAAAAATGTGTGTGGAACACCATTACCTTAGAACCTTAATATGTTGGGTATTGTGATCTCCAAAATGCATATATATTATCTTTTAAATTTAGGATTTACTTATCTTTTAAATTTAGTTTTTATGTTAAATAGTGATAAAAGGATGTGGTTTTCCAGTTGTACTTGTTTTGCTGCTATTTCGCTAAATTACACATTTTTCTTACAAAAACCAATATTGGGGTTGTGTTAAGATGGTAGGTTGCTACAAAATCATGGGAGTTAATATTAGATGTGGTTTTCCAATTGTACTTGTTTTGTTGATATTTCGCTAAATTACACGTTTTCTTAGAAAAACCAATATAGGAGTTGTGTTAATAGGGTAGATTAGCTACAAGATCATGGGGGTTAGTATTAGTACTATTAAAGCCGAGTTTAAAGGCTGGGTTCATTACTAAAAGTTTTGTATTGATTTTTATTTAAAAGTTTATGCATATTTGTTTCTGTAGTATTATAATATTCTTCTTTGTATATATTTGTGAAGCCTAAGGATCAGTATTATCGAGGAATTCATCATTGTGTAATGAACCCAATATCTAGGAGGAGGTAGTTGTAAGTAGTAGAATAAGGAGGATCACTTTAGATAATTGTACAAGGCTATAAAAGCTCTATCTGGTTGTACTGGAGACATCAGGAAATAACAGAATTCCAATTTCCTATTCTCTTCTTCTGCTCTATCGTTCTACCCTTCTTCTTCCCCAAGCTTCTGCTTCTGTTTTTCCTTCCATTCTCAATTTCTCTTCCTCTTTCCCTCATTTGTTGCTTCTATTACACTGTTTGCCAATTAATTCGCCGGGACAGATCCAGGATCATCACACATTGTCAATGGTTAACAAGAGTGCCAAATAATAGTCTAAAAGGCACGAAGTAAATTTAAAAAAAAACGGCAACATGAGAAGTGTGAAGTGTAATAGAATTAGATGGACTATAGATGAGATGAATATGTTAGTTAATGGTGCTGATCATTTTGGAACTGCAAGATGAGTTGAAATCAATACGTTGCTATTCTCATTTTATGGTCGAGAGAATCCGGACTATCTGAGGGTAAGAAGCAAAAATATTATTGTATAACTAATTAAAAAGGTTTGGCAAGACTAGAACATTATCATATGTAGCCTTTTGTTGTGCAGCAACAATGAGGTACACTAGTAAAGAAAGTTGTGCCTTGGATCCCAACTGCAAACATGAAAACGTGGAAGTTACATTATTAATTTACATTTCATTTTTCATTGACTATATTGCATTTTTACACTAAAAATGAAAAGTTTATTCCCTTTATATTGCGAGTACAAGTGGAGCAACGGAAAAAATATGCAAACTTGTCTGAGAGTTTGGTGCAAAGAGTCTTGGCGTTGGACGATGTGGATTCCACTCGACGAGATCCATCGGGAATTGGAACCATTAACGAAACAATAAAGTGTTGCTTAGTAATTGGTTGGTTTTTACTTTGTAGGGTAAAAAAGAGATGGAGGTTTTTGTTTTCTTCAAAATGGAGGATGAGTGCATATACCATAAATTTATTTTTGTAATTGCAGGAAACTAGTTACTACTCAGTTGGTGCATACGTGTCTTTTGCATACATATGGTTGGAAGGAGGAAGAGAAAATGGAGGAGGGGAGGTAAATGTCATTCCTCATAAGTATGCCCCTGTTTGATTAAAAAGGAACCGTGGTTGGGGTGGACAATTGGGGGAGATTACTATTTCAGCTCTCCTCAAATTGAGATGCAAACGTTTGTGGAGAGAGGGGAAGGAAGTGGCGGATGGATGAGGAATAAGTGAATCTATGAAGTGGGAATGAAAAGAAAGAAGAAGGAATGAGGTGGGGTCGAGGAAGGATGGAGGTGGGGCCAAATTGTTTTTTGTTTTAAGTTCTTAATAAGAACAAATATTTTAATTCATATAACACATTTCATTTTGCACCCACTTACTTTTTCTTCCAAACAATAATTTATGTCTCAATTTGCACCCCTTAAATTTTACTCCTCCCTATAATTTATATATCAATTTGCACCTTCCTCGAATTTGCATCCTCGCGTTGCCAAGCGAAATGGAAGTAGTATAAAGAGTTTTATCTTGCGCGAGAGGAAACTTGACCCTAAATTAAGTATCACTTTGCTGTCTCTTTTGGTATTAACAACAACATCATTGCCATGGGGAGATTGTTTCTTCTAAAAAGCATTTTCGCGCATTCTGCTCTTTTTTGTTGTTGTTTGAAGACGAATTTTGAATGATTTATTAATTTCCTAGAAAAATTGATTTGGTGATTTCAATAATATGCAATATTGAGCAAATGAGTTTTGAAAATCACAGAGTGAGAAAGGGTGTGTTGCCCTTCTCTTCCTTTATGCATGCTTTGTTACAGATTCATGCAAGTTGATGATATGCTCGAACATGAAGCAACTTGACAATAGGTTAACAATCCAAAAATAAAAAACTAGGAAAAGAAAGAGATAAGTGTTGGTGATGTGCTTTCCACCTCCGCTAGCAATGTCTTTAATATCAAGTCTTCTAAGCACACTACCACTACCCCCTGTTTTATCAATCAAAGACCATCATCTTCATCACCAAGATTAACCATCCAATTCATTTGTTGGAAATTAACTATATATGTGAAAGACTAATGTATGTAGAACCTAAGCTATGGATAACCAATCATAGCGTCAGGCCAAATCGGCACAATAAGAGTACAAGGACAACATGAAACCAATTATAAACACTTCGCTCTGAAACATATTGCTATAAGAGTACAAGGACCTCACAAGCAGAGATGTTGAATCTGAAGTAGAAACAAAAGTAGAAATGTCGAATTCATCTTTACCTAGAAAAAAATATTCTGAATATGTCTCTGGGACTCACAAACTCAAACAAACGCCAGAGACATTATCGCCTTCTGAAACTTCTAAAATATCCTATGTTCTCCCTCGTTACGAGTCCATAATCTTTGACCAGAACCAGTTCTTTTCATAGCCAATCAACAACAGAAGAGTGAAGCTTAAATCCCACAAGTCACTGAAGCAACTATTGATGGTAATCCATGGTCCCTTCCCCGCTCTAGCTTCTCCAGCTTCCCACTCTGTCTTTCTCCATCTTCTTCGACTTTCCTCTCGGGCGCTAGGTTAGGAGAACTGAGCGCATTGTTATTCGCCTTATTGAGGCTCAGTTATTTTTTCTTTCTTCATCTTTGCGTGTTTAGTTTCTAGGGAAAAGGGAGCGGGAACTTCTACGAATCGATTGGATGAATGGACATTGATGGCACATCTCTGATTGCATCATAAGACGATGAAATTCATCTTTTGCCAATGGATCATGAGCAGGATAGTCTCTCCATGGATATCATATTTCCAAGCAAGGATAAAGTGGCCAGCTCATCATCACCGGTATGTCAATTTTCTTCCTCTCCTGAAATTACCCCTTTTCTTCTCTCATTTCCCTTCCCTGGTCTCTCTTTTATTTTTTACTCGAGTTTGTTGGCCTATGTTGTGTTTGAGTTGGTGGGTTGGGCGTTATTGTTAGAAAATGTTTAGTTGGGTCGTGTTTTATAAATGTTGAATGTTTTAGTTCACGAGTCTAGATGTTTTAGCTAAAATTGGTCATCGATGCATTTGTGCAAGAACTCCTATTATCTCATCATCTTGTTTCTTATAAAAACGAGTTTGGAACACCATTACCTTATAACATTAATATGTTGAGTATTGTGATCTCCAAAATCCCTATCTATTATCTTTTAAATTTAGTTTCACCATTCAGAGATACTTATCTTTTAAATTTAGTTTATATGTTAAATAGTGATAAAAGGATGCAGTTTTTCAGTTGTACTTGTTTTATTGCTATTTCGCTAAATTATACATTTTTCTTAGAAAAACCAACATAGGGATTGTGTAGGTTATCTACAATATCATGGGTTAGTGGTAGAAGTTGGTTTCCAGTTGTACTTGTTTTGCTGCTATTTTACTAAATTACACAATTTTCTTAGAAAAACCAACATATAGAAAAACCAACATAGGAGATTAGTTAGACTCATTAATGATTACAAGAACACTAGATTAGCATTGAAATGTTAGAATTCCAAATGGGTGGAGAGCACCATCCCACTTGTACAAACATTCTAAATCAAACGGAGTAAAATTTTCTATCATATATTCAACTAATTTGTCATAATATATTTTGAAAACAAAAAAAGGATTATATCTTATACACATTATTATATAAAAAATAAAACTTTGATAAACCATAATCGTAAATTTCAAAACATGAACATTTGAAAATTTTGACAAATACCAACCTGCACAAGGGCAGGGTCTAAACTATTTTTCATAATAGTAAAAAGGATTAATATATTTGAATGACTCGAACTTTTCACAAATTAAATATTATAGTCAATCTTTTCTATCTATAATTTCGTGCCCTCAACTACGCATCAAAGTTACGAAATTGGCCAAACCCAAGATTTGACTGTTATCTTGGACGATCAACGCGCCATGTCACTGCCAAGTCAGCACAATTGCACAAACCACTTAAAAGTTTGTTTTTTTTCACCTATTACCATTTATCTTTTTTATTTTAAACAAAATAAGTAAAAAAAACAGGACTTTTTTTTTAAATGTCAGGTCCCAAAATTTTTAAATGGTAAGAGGTGGAAATACCAAATTTTTTTAAGTGGTCTATTCTGATTTGGTAGTGACGTGGCGCGTTGACTATGACCATCCAGGAAAACGGTTAAATCTCGGATTTGGCCAATTTCATAACTTTGATGCATAGTTCAAGCCACAAATTTTAAATCAAAAAAGTTGAACAGTATATTTAATTTGTGAAAAGTTTTCAACCATATAAATATATTAATCCTAGTAAAAAAAGTGTCCAGTTCGAGCTACAAACACCAACAACATTTCTCACGTAGCCAGATGGATCAAACCAAAAACAAAGGGGGCCAAATGGAAGGTTTTGGTTTTACACACACTTTGAAAGAAATTCAGCCTGGGGTTTATACTTTATAGAACCTAATCAACACACAACTGGGGCGAAGCAATAAAAGGCGCCACCGGCGGCGGCACAAGACTATGTTTCTTCTTCTTCTTCTAGGGGACTTCAATCTCAGAGGCGAGAGGTTGGGGCTGTGGCTTGGGCTTCAGGAGCTTCACAATGGACACCACGGTGATTCCCAACGTCACCAGCAGCCCGACGTAGGAGGCAAGAATGGCTATTCCGCCGCGGTTGCAGTAACCTTGGAACTTATCGCAGATCTCGTTCCACCTGGCGTGCGAGTTGCCGTTCTTCGCCAGCTGCGCCATGAAAGCCGCCCCGTGCACCCCGGCTGACAGCAGCGCCGCGTTTAACTACATACCATTCATTACCAACCAACCAACCAAACAAACAACAAAAACTCGAAATCAGATGAACGGGTACTTGTTTTTCCCCCCCTTTTTCCCAATACGCAACCATTGAATTGAAGTGTTTGCTTGAATACTCGTTATTTCCACTGAAGGTCAGGTGGTTAGTTAAGTACCATATCTAGAATGGCTACTAAGGGTAGCTTGAATCCTCTGTAATCAAGGCCGAGCAGGTCGGAACCAATCATCATCAAGTTGTGGTTGCTAGCCATTGCGTTGGCTATCACAAAGAACCTGCGTGCACGGAGAGGATGTCAAATAAACCAATCAAATGCCAAATGAATCAATCATCACTCTCAATTCAAAAATGTTTCCGTTAGCAAAATCTCCTGGGTGTATGGAAATGAAAAGGTGCTTACACATTTGCAGGGGTCTGTTGGAACTTAGCCGTGATAGAGGCAGTGACAGGGGTCGTACCAACGGTGGCAACTACGAAGGTTCTGGTTTCCTTGTTGAGTGCCATCACAATGGTTGCAGCTGCGGTGGCCAGGAAGGCCGCCGCCCTTAGCACCAGGACAACCGCCTTCTGTCGCTTTTGCCCGACCTCTTCTTCACCCATGTTGCCCAGAAGATAGATGGATGGATTGGAATTGGATAGGAGTAGCTTACTTCTGGGTTTTTTTATTGGATTTTGGGGTGTCTGTGAAACCGAAACGAAGTGGGTTCATCATTTATAGTTGCGATTCTGCGGGGGATGATCCAAAATATGAACCACTTTTTTTTAACTTCTATGTTTCTACTTGTGAATTACGTTTCTTCGGGTGGTGGAACCATCGGATGGACAAATTTTAGACGATTTCCCGCTTTCTGGTCATAGTAGTTGGGAAACTGCTTAGGCTTCGCCTTTCCTGCTGAGAAACACTAAACAAATTGAAGGTGGTGCTCTTTTTTCCTGGCAGTTCTACGTATTTAGGGACTTTCAATCTTCGCTGTATCTCAGCGACAAGTCGCGGCCTGTAAATTTGGTAGTTTGTATTTTGTAATGTTGGCGGTATCGTAAAAGTGTAAAACCGTCTTCATTACAGTGGCCATTCCCCCCCTCCCAGTGAAGGGGAAGGGACTGTGTGCAAATGCAACCTCCCTTCCAGAAAGCTTTGACGACTAATCAAAACTCAAACGCCAAGTCCACGGTAAGTGAGCTTTACAATGACATCGGATGAGCAAAGCTGGATAGTTACATTTCGTTGGACGAAAACTGAGAAGTTGAGTGTTCTTCTCCTCAAGTTAGAAGCACAAGATCCTCCAGCTCCAGCATGTAAAACTGACTGTTCAATAAGGCACAAAAAAACTGGTCCCTATCTGTTACTTATTGGGTGTGGCCGGCCAAGGGGAAGTCCTCGCTCAAGGACGGTTTGTTCGACCTCTCTCAGCTTGTTTCTTGAGTACAACATGCTTTCACTCTCTCCGCAGAACTAATCTGTATGTCAAGAGCCTTTCTCGCCTTGTTCCTCGAATACAACATGCTTTCACAGTCTCCGCAAAACCAATCTGTCTATATGTCGCAAGCCATAACCAAGAAAGAGCACATTTGAATCCAGGGCGAAAAGAAAGGACGATAAATAGACCACAGAGTACCCAAAACAGAATGTCCTAGTCATTTATATAAGAGATGTACAGATGAAGATTTTCTGTAAGAGATTACCAAAAATGTAATCAAATAAATCTGAAAGATTACAGCAGCAGGGTGAGTCACCATGGTTTTGAGTAGAGTACAAAATATGCATGAATGGTACAAAGTTCCTCTCCAAAATGTACATCCACTTTCTTTTTTAAATTTCTTCCCCAAGGCTTCTTTTCTCTATAGCTTCTTTCTCTTTCTGTTTAATCTCCATTGAAATATTATACACACAGTTCCCATCCTCCACCCCCTCCCAAACCCCAAAAGCCATGACCCCTAACCCTAATCAAATTGGATACAAGCAAACATCTCCAAAAGCCTCCCCCGCTTCCTTATTTTTTATATGTTGTGACTCCAACAACCACATTGCTCACCTGCAACGTATATTTCCATGGGGATCTTATCAAACAGCACTCATACTGAGAAAGATGAAATGCAGGAGAAGCAGAAGATACAGAGGAGAGCACTGGAGGTGACACAAATAAGTTATGGTCCATGGGTCGGGTTCATGGAGACGAGTGTTTGAAAGTTGTAAGTGGGTTGCTGAGATTTTCTCGGAATTCTGATATGGTTTAAAATGGCATTGCAGTTGCCTATCAAGTCTAAGGGCTGTCGGGTACGATTCTAGAAGTTTAGGTATTGATTGTAAAACGACAGAGGTGGACTAGTTTATGACTGGCTAAAAAAGAAGGGTGCAGTAATGTAATTTCAATCACCTGACTGAATTGACAGAGAAAAAGTTCGATTCAGATTCTGGACCAGTTCTGAAAGTTTTACGACTCAAAAATATTTGAAACTAAATACTAGTTTCAGTTTGACACAAAATTTCATTTAAATGTGTGCATTGGGTACTAAAATATAAGATATGAGATGGTAATTTTGCTGTAACCCATCTGCAGAAGAACACAACGAATTTGGGTCAAATGGGGTTCTCTGGCTTAGATGAGTTTTAAGAGGATGGGTTGGGTTGGACTGGGGGTGACTAGGTTGATTCTTACTTTCCCGGGCAAAGAAAGGCTGGGGTGACTAGGTTGATTCTTACCAATTTCCCACTTTCATCGACAGACATTGGATTTTCGACAACTACTGTCTGAGTCTGTGATTGCGGCATTGCCTGCGTCAATGGATGAAGGGAAGCAACAACAATCAGAATTAGTAAAACAGAGAAGATATCGAATGTTTCTCAGAATCAGATCACTCGGCAAAGTTGACAACTTACTGAGGAAGTGGATGGCAGCGTAGCACCTGTACCATTTGTTCTGTTCACTGGCAGTTGAACCCTCACATTTGCCACCTGCACCGGGAAAGCAAAATAATATAATGAGACCACTAGGGGCAGACCATCCCTCTCCCAAAACAAGATAGTTATATTGGGATCCATTAATTAGCTGTGGTCTGATTAATGGATGTCTTCTGCAATCACACCATTCCATATCAACATTTGCTTTCTGAAGTCAACAATAAAACCTCCTCTCCCTAACAAAATTGTGTTCCCATGGAAACGTAGAACTTAAAATCAGCTATATGTAGCTGTAAGGAAGCCCTAACCGAAGTCTCTATATATTCTTTCAACTAAATTGTCAGTTCCCTTTATAACTGTTAGTGTTGTGGTATATGATCTACGATTGAACCTCTCCCAACAACTCGAGTTATTGGGAGTGGGAGCAACTGGTTCTTAACATGGTGTCAGAGCCTTCTGTGATCGAGAGGTCTTGTGTTCGATTCCCGGTGACCCCCATTTGTTAAGCATATGGTATTCTTGTCTTTAGACCTGTGCAAACTTCAAGCCCTTGTGAGTAGCTTTCATTTGAGGGGGCGTGTTAGTGTTGTGGTATATAATCCACTATTGAACCTATCCCAACAACTCGATTTATTGGGAGCAACTGGTTCTTGACAATAACCACATTGTTGATTTGTTGATTTGAACGCTTCTATTCAGAGGGATCTAATGCTTACAATAGTTCTTGCAACTGACTATATCTACTTTGAACAGAAGATAAGATGACAAAAAGTCTAGAAACAGGCAACCCTACTGCCCTAGCTGTTTAGAAATCAGGAAAGGCCAATGAAAAGATTGCACAAATTGGAGAAAACAATAGAAGACTTACACTGACATTTGTGACATAATGACAGACTGCACACTTCACAGATGGAGCTCCATATGGATACATAAGTGTCGTCCGGCAGTTGCCACAGTTTACATGAGCAGCCTGACTAGACACTACCTCACACATCCACCAAAATTCAAAAATCAGAATCAGGAGACTGCTATATGAGGAAAATAAAATTTGACAGGACAAACACATCAAGCAAAACACTATATGACCCTCACACGCATTGCTGGAAACAGAAATCATGTGATGTACATCACGAAATGTATTAAGATGAAAAGATCATATCAGTGTTCCTTATGTACATACATGCAAAAGAGAAGCTAGAACTTGAACTATCAGGTGAAACTGAGAAGTATAGAATGGTCAGTAAGAAGAGTGTTTCCATAATAACATAATTATTTGAAAATAATTGACACTTGAAAGTTGAAGGTGGTTTTGTTTGTATATCAAGACGTTTCCAATTAGGATTCTCAATGAAGGATTCTCCATCTCAAAATGTAGAATAAATAAAAACTCGCACAACTCCAGAAGGAACTATTTGCTACTAAGTTAGTTTTCTGCTTTCATAACCCATGGAGAATTCAGAACTCAATGTCTTTTTACATGTCTCGTAAAAGCTTGAGAAGAACAAATCTTCAACACTTTCATGAGTTATGGAACAGGAAGCAGTTAAAGGAATCAAGATTTAGCATTATCTCCTGTTAATGAAAACACAAAGCTGATGTGGCATTTCATGCTGACTGGCCCTAAGCTCATAACAGAAATAGCCTGGACACTAAACTACTGGACCTAAGCTCATAACAGAAATGCACATAGGGTCAATCACAAACGGTAAGGAGCAATAAGCTGACACACGGCTCTTCTATGAGATCAGTGATCCAGAATAAACTGTTATTTTTCAAATGGGAGCCATCAGTCCAAATACATCTATGCCAAGTTCGTAATTTTGCTGGTAAGCAACTCGAATGCTCATGAATGAATTGCCAACATCTTTATGGAAGAAATGTAATCCTCTGATTCTATATTTTGTAGAATCTTGAATAAAGAGATCTCTGACTTTATCAGAACTTATAAACTGGCATCTAATCAGGTAATCAATTTTTACCTGGTGCCAGGTTCACAGTATGACAGCAAGAGCATCTGACACTGGTTGCACCACGTGTATACATTAGCAAAGTCCTGCAACCTCCACATATAAGTTGAGCCATTTCCATCCCTGCAAGGATAACATACAAGTTAAGCAGCTATATCCTTTGTTAAAATTATAACCTTCAATGTTGACATAAAGATTGGAATATGTTAACATGTAGCTCATACAGGAGCAGAAAAGAATTCGAGCATCTTTGACTGAATATCACCCCGAACCGACAAAAATACCAGTACTATTTTTATGAGCAAAAACTAATACATCAAGTGAAGAATAGAGCAAGAAGTAAGTAAGATAAATCAGCTTGTTATCTTCATACCATATATCACATTTTATTTAGAAATACATGGGAGCAAGAGACTCGATCTCTTTCACATAGAATTCATTGTTGAACCCAACTAAAGATCAACAATGGACGTTGCATCATGAGCTGGAAGCTTGATCATAAATCAATGACATACATATGTTTCAAATATCTACTGTCTACAAAGAAAATCTTCACAATAAATATCACTGGGCTCACTTTTCAAAGGCACGATTCATATGAAGTCAAGAATATGTAAACTGCTTAACTCCAGTATATGGTATAACAAAAGTTCACTCCAAGCAAAGTCTTGAAACTTTATCATGTTAGAACTGCTTCTTGCAAGATCTCAGAACTAAATTTCACCCAAAGGCATAGCCCACATAACCAGTCAAGCAAATGTAATAGAATGAACCATGAGTCAATATATTGGGGGGGAAAAGGACATAAAAGTAGTATACCCGAAGGAGGGACTGATGTAATTGTATTACATAAGGCACAACAAACATTTGAAGCTCCTCTTGGATAAAGAAGAATGCTCCTACATCCGTTGCACACCAACTGGCTCTGCATAACTGCATTACAACATGAAACAATGTAAGAACAGTTTCCCAAGGCATAAAACCCCTGCACATATATGAGGCCCTACACTAGCTACAGATGATGTGATAACCATAGCCATTGTACAACGAGAAGCCCCTGCCTTGCAATAAATGAAGGCGCCATAAACCGAATGAATACTAGTTAATTATCTTCCTAGGCAATGGCTCGATCCTGGGCAATAATCCTGAGGGCTGAGGTGATATAAACAGCCATGGGGAAGAATACGACGTAACATTTTCAAGTCAACAAGATTCTTGGCAACATTGCATTACACTGGAATGCATCCAGAAAATCCATATCTAAAATAGCCAGAATTACCAACAACATGCTAATGTTATAGAAAGAGATCTGCAATTCTGCATGCAGGCAAAGAAAAACACGGCAATCCAATCGAACAAAGGAAACTGGAGATAAGAGATACAAAAAAGTCAGCTGCCAGACGGCGACATGACCAACACAAGAGCAGCTAGAAATTGACCTCAAGACAAAGAGAAAGAAACACAAGCGCTTCTCTCTCTCTCGCTCTCGCTCTAGCTCGCTCTTTCTCTCAGCAGCTTCTCCCGAGCAATCCACGCGCAATGGCCGAGAAGAGTCGAGGGAATCCTGCGACATTTCCAAACAGAACTCGTCAGAAAGAGGGGGAAACTCTCAGATAAGACATCGCGATCGTGAAATCAAGGAACGAGGGACAGAGACGAGAAAATCAAGGCAAGCGAAGCTAGTAGTCCACCTCGAGGAAGGACGACGATGGCGTAGGTGGCGGTGGCGGCGACGGCGAAGGAGGAGGCGGGGGCGACGGAGAGAAGGAAGGGAGAGGTAATCGGGGAGGGGAGGGGAGGAGAGGAAGGAAATGTTTGAATCTGGAGAGGAGAGGGAGGAAGAGAACGCAGCAGCAGGAGGAGGATTGGAATTTTGTTCGGGGGCGGGAGGGACAATCGGGCAGATTGAGGAAACCGAGGGAGGAGAAATTGGATTTTTTTGTTTGTGGAATTCTTTTGCTTTATTTTTCTTTCGGGTCAAAAGAGAAGCAAAAGATAAATCGGGGCGGGTATAGCCGTATAGCCTATAGGTATTTTTGTTTATTTGGTAGAAAGGGCGGGTATAGCCTAGAGATTAGGGATGTCAATCCAACTCGTAACCATGGGTACCCTACCCGACCGTAACCGGTGAACGAGGGTAATTATCCGCTTTGACGGGTTAAGGGGCGGGTACGGGTAATACCCGGTTTCAAAATAAAGGGTAGGGTACGGGTATGGTAATCGACAATACTCGCCCCGTTATACCCGCCCCGCTAATTAAAAGTTGATTTTCCTAGACCCTAACCCAGCACCCACTGCCCGACCCAGCACCCACTGTCCGACACTACCTAACCAGAAGTGAGGAGACAATCTGGCCAGTGGCCACTTCTCCCCAAGAAGACCCCAACTTTGTATCTGACCTAAAATCAAAACCCTATTCCTAAATTGGAAGCTCTCCCCGCCGCCCTCCAGCCAGCCTACAGTCCACGCGGCCACGCACATTTCACAAGGAACTTCGCCGGCCGCCAGTCCCAACGGCGTCGACGTCGACGTCCGCCTCTCGTCCTCTCCCCTGCTTCCTTCCCGGTTCGTGCGCCATTTCCCTGCTACCTCTCCGTCGCGCGTCGTTCCCAGCTACCCTCTCCTTTCGCACGCCGTTTGCAAGGAACCTCGCCGGCCGCGTGAATCCGAACGGCGTCGACGCGTCATCTGCCTCTCGCCCTCTCCCCTGCTTCCTTCCCGGTTCGTGCGTCGTTTCCCTGCCACCATCTCCGTCGCGAGCCGTTCCTCTCGCCAAATCTCCACCGTTCCAGCGCGCTTGCTCTCCCCTGTTCCAACGGGCTCGCCAGATCTCCCCTGTTCCACAAGCATCCCACGACGACAAGCATCGAACAGTAGGGTATTTTTGGCTTGATTCCCTTTGTTAATTAATCTCGCTGGTCATGTGTTTGCTTAATTCCCTTTGTTAATTAACGAGAAGTGCCTTATGGGGAGATGATTAATTGAACTGAAGAGTGGTTTGTGGGGCTGTGGGTAGTAAATTGGGGTGGGTGGTTGAGGTGGCAACTGGCATAGTGAAGGAAGGATTCGTTGATTTGGGTTGGGAAGTATATGGGCAGGAGGGGTGGAGTTTGTACTCGGGTCCGCTCTGACTTGTTTATAAGTTCGTATTTTAGGATTCGTACCCATGGTTACCCGAATACCCATGGTTATCCGGTGGGTAGGGTATGGTTATATCATTTTCATACCCGGTGGGTATTTGGTCGAGTATTTTAGGAGGCTCTACCCGGCAGGTTAGGAGTTGGTATAGGGTAAACCCGCACCCGACCCTACCCATTGCCATCCCTACTAGAGATTCATACCTCACTTTTCGTCCATTTTGAAATTGCAGCCACGGGAGCGTTTCACGAATGGGCAATTGTGACATTTCCCATGTTTTAAGTCATGCACACTGTTTTGTACGGCAGCGGCTCCTTCCTTCCACCCTGATTCACCTCTGCTTCTAGGGATGGCAATAGGGTGGATTTGTCTAAACCATCCCATCTCCATCTTCAAATACTCAAACCCATACACGCCCCATACCCATGCGGGGGAATGTTTTGCAAACCCATCTTCATACCCGTGGGTTTCGGATAGGGCTGGGCATGCGGGCGGATCATCCGCGGGTTTGGGTCGACCCACCCGCATTTGACCCGAATTTCGTTAAGTGGGTGGGTCTGTGGGTGGGTGACGGGTTGGGCTGGGAGCCATCCGTCAGGTGGTGGGTGGGTTGTGGGTGAGTGTGCGGGTGACCCGCTCAACCCAACAGCAAAAAGATCAAAGTCGTTGGCGCTAGAGAGAGAAGAGTGGAGACGTTAGATATAAACTCGGACTGCTCCTGGAGTTTGAACCTCAAAGCCAACCTTCCAAATAGAGATCCCCTCTTCTTCCCTTTACTTTTTCCTCTAATTCTTGTGCCTAGATCACCGCTCTTTCCTTTGTGGAATTATTTTCCTTAGTTCCTTGCACCTAATAATCATCTCAATCTGTAGAAAACTCTTTCATAATAGAATTTCTATCCAATTTAAGAACTAATTTGACATTTTTCGCCCTATTTCAACTTCTTGTTTCCCTCGATGATTCTCTTCACCTATTATCATGTCAAGTTGACTCCTTTATATTATATACATTGTGATGTGGGTGAACCCACAAACCCACCCGCATCATCCACCATCCGCCCGACCCAACCCGAGACTAAATGTGGGGGGTGGGTTAAAAATTATCAATCCGTTTAAGCGCGGGTGGGTGCATTTTATGGTCAAAATCCACCCAACCCACCCAATGCCCACCCCTAGTTTCGGGTACCCATGGGTAATATCCATCCCCGTACATCCAACATTATTATACCTAAAACTTACAAGAAAAGTTTTAATTATAATCATAAACAAACCTATTATATTATGAAGTCAACAAAACACGGTTATTTTCTAAATACGATTCAAAGAATATGACCCTAAAACATCCATTAATACATAATATAGACTACAATATTTTTTAAATTATTATGCTCTAACTCTTGATACATTTACTAAGTAATAATTAACTAACATAATCTTGTTGACAAGAGGGAAAGTGAAAGAGTGGAAGGAGAATTGAGGGAAATGAATTAGGTTTTGATTAAGGTGGTTACTCAATTGCATTTCTACTATTTATTTTCTCGAGTTATCATCATCATCATTGATAGATTACAATTTAATCCACATATTTTTTGATATGTGGAGAAATTCTCTTGGTGGGGCGGGTATGGGTATGGGTATGGGGCGGGGGAGGCTAAAACCATACCCGCCCCATACCCATCAAACTTTTTGCGAGTTTTACCCATACCCGCCCCATACCCGATCAAAGCGGGAATTCCCCGCGTTGACTGGGTCGGGGGCGGTCGGATACCCGCGACCATGGGTTTGATTGTCATCCCATCTGCTTCCATCTTGCTCTTTCCCTCTCTTTTTTCCTCTTCAAACCGCAGTCAAGGGTTTCACACCGTCGCTCACTACCAAAGCCACAACCAGCGGCGAGGCTGCGTCTCCGACAACCAGATTTTTTGACGAAAAGCCTGCCGCTACAACTAGCATTTGAGTTGGATCAAATGCACGGTTCCAATTTTTGTACGAGAATTTCAAACTAATCCTACTCGAAACCACAACGCCGCAGTAGTTGTGCCGCCAACAACCAGACCCGACGCATCTTATTTCTCCTCCAGTAGCAAAGCCACAACGAGAACCATATTTCCGGACAAATCCGATTTCTCCTCCAGCAGTAATTAAAGCCACAACACCGGGAGCTGTGCTGCCAACAACCAGATTTCCCGACAATTTCCATCTCCGCCCAGGCTATTGCATCAACTCTAACAGATTGTCGTTGAGATGGCATGCATGCATATGTTCCTCTTTCATAGTTTGATGTCTATCTTCATTTTAGTCTATTATAATGCTACATTGATTCAGTTTGGTTTTCACCACTTTTCCAGCTACTAGCTTCGATCTCCCGACCCTCCGTTTAACTATTCTTCGGCATCCCAATTCTCCTCCGAGAGCAGGTTAGTATTTACCTTCCATCTTGGCTTTTTTCCCCTTCTCCAGCACAGTAGCGTAGCGTCAGTTTGAGAGAGAGTTTTGGACGGTATGTTTCTCGGTTCTAATTTCCGTTTCATTTTCATCAACATCTAGCGCTTATGTGATTTGATTGGTTCCATATGTTATTAGTTCTGTTTAATATTGTTTTCATTTCTTGGGTTGGTGAGGAGTTTCTTCTTTCATAATTGAATAGTTTAGTGGCAACATAAGCTGATTAATTTGTGCAACTGCTTCTTGCTTGCAATCCATATAGTTACTAATTATCGTTGGAAGTACCAAGTAATAATTAGTCTAATCATATTTCGTTCACTATATATTTTGATTCATGGGCAGGGGAATACTACTTAATTTCCGAGCTTATTAGAATCTTCACTCTCTAGATCTAGATGCTCATCCTATCCTTAATTTGTATGTTTGCTATCTGAATTGCTTATATCGATCTATTCTTGGTCCTCATCTAAACATAATTAGTCATTCATTTAAATAATTTTGTCAGGAATTTGCAACAGTAGAATGGTGTTGCTCGCAGGGTTTTTTTTTTTTATCCAAAGCAAGCCTAAAGGGCATGGGACAAAGACTATACATGAATACATGACCGACTTAAAACCAACACGTTAGTCTGTATGCAACCAGACTACGATGAAAGAGCCTGAAAAGTCACTACTTGGGCAGCTCTGAAGAAGCTCTAAGGAGCAAAGACACGACACTAACGGGGGAAAAACAAAAACTTAACATCTCCAAGAAAGTCCCGCCAGTGAGTGTAGTTTCCTTCGACGGAGTATGGTGGATGACCAGTATCGATATGCCAACAAAGAAAAGCAAAATACATTAGCAATCTTCGACAAAGCATTCTTAATTACTCTCATAAATTTGTAAGAGAATAAAATCGAACTATCACCTGATAGATTGATGAAACTTACCTCACTTACTTCATTACTATCATACCAAATGAGCACCTGCAAAATGACCAACCAAAAAAGCACGACTATGGTGCTAGAAATCTCTATCACAAGAGATTAATTTTTACCCTTGAGGCAAAGTTGATCTTATCGGAAATACACCACCAACAGTATTATTCACTTTTTGTAAGTGCAAAACACTCGCAATCAAAGACGGTACTCCAAAATTAGGAAAAGTGAAGTCTACTTTAGCTAAAAAAACTAAATGACGGAATTAGTGATATTAATGGCACCTTCATACCCCAAAACAAATATAGCAATTTGTGATTAAAATAAGACAAAAAAGAAAAACAAACTAAACAAAAGAAAGTAAATTAACTTCGGGTACCCTACACCCTTAATTAAGTTCTAAAACTTAATGTTGCTCGCAGGGTTGGTGAAGTTTGTCACAGTTTCTTAGCAATGCAGTCAAAATCGCGCTTTAAAACTTAAAAGCTTACGCTTTTATCTTTTTGGGTCACCAAAATGCTTCTACGTAGAATCGTGATTCTCCCTTACAAATGTAGTCAAAATCTATGTTTTGAAACTTAAAAGCTTACGGTTTTGCGCTTCTAGATAGAATCGCGCTTTTGACTGCATTATTTCTTAGTACCAAGCTATATATGGTTAATTGAAGCTTTGAATGTGGCTGATCCATTAAGGTATTATATTATCAAACCATACTTTCTTCTTCTTTCCTTATCCGAATTTCAGATTTGTTCAAGCAATTTAAGGCAACGTGAAATTAAGTATGTTAGTCTTTCTTCATCTTTTACTTATAGGGTATGGCCTACAAAATACCAGTTGAAGTATGTGAAGTCGATGCATGCTTATTGGTCCGATCGAAAATTAGCCTTCAGGTTGAACTTAAAGTGAAAGATGATTGTCATTCTGGTGTTTTTATTTATGAAGCTATATTTCCATATTGATGTTGGCACTATCTCGAACGAAGAACAGTTTGAGAGTTCGATTCGACTTCATCCTCAACTTGAAAGCATTTAAAGGTAAGAAATTTCGATTCTTGGTGAAAGTTGTCCATAATTTCTATAAACCTACTGCAATGCGCTTTGTGGTTCAAAATCAAGTATTTCTAACGACAAACATATTGTAAATAGTCTTAAGTTTTTTATTCACAAGGCATTTTGTGAATTTGTTAAAGTTTGATCGATCATAAATTTTTCGTCAGTTGTCTGATTGCCACAAACTAGGTGCATCTTGGAGAGGATTTGATTCTTAAAGGTTCTATGTAGAAAAGATTATGCTAAAATGTCATCTTTCACGTTTGTTTTATTGAAGGTTGTTTGTTGGGATGTTTGGATGGGTAGGAGGTTAAAGTTAAACGATGATTTATAATCTTTGTTCTGTTCTATAATTATTTACACGTGTTGGACTTTGCCAATTCAAACAATTTATGTTTTTTGGCTGTGGATTGCAATTTGCAAGTAACTGCATATGTTCAGTATCAATTCAAAAAGAATATGCATGTTATTGGGCTCTAACAACTTTTGTTGGTATTTCTTTTGGATTCTCTATGTTATTGATATGGGGTTTAGATATTAAAGGCTCCCGATCGAGGTTAAAAAGTATACGAGATTTGGTTTTTGTAGGAGAGGAAATAAATTTAGTTGCTACAAATTCGGAGGAAACCCGCAACACTAATTCAAGTCATGAAGGAGTATTTATAAATTAAAGGCAGAAAAGAAAATATTTCATTGACTCTGTGATGGCAATTACCCACCCATGGTGGGTTTTTATACCCAAATCCAAGTAGACCCATTGATAATGGGTTGGGTATGGGTGAAGTGCATATGGGTTTGGGGGTTTGTAGATGGGTTTGGGTAAGGTATGAATATTGTTTCCATAATCTAAATGGGTATGGGTTGGATATGGATATCCATTTACTTGAGGGTGTTTTAACTAAACATGCAAAAATTGGACCTATTTGTAAAACTTGAAAAGTTTAGGTACCAAAATGTAAGACAAAAAAGATTTAGGTACCAAAACGTAATTTTCCATCGATATTTTGAGGACTTATATGCAAAAAATTAAATTTAGGTACTAAATATGCATATCTATTAAATTTAGGTACCAAACTGTAATTTGTATTTGGGCATAGATACAAACCCAAATACATTTGTTATAAACCCAACTCAACTCAAAGTAAATGGGTAATTGGGTATGGGTACAAATCCATCAAACTCTACCCATATCCATCTATTTGGATTTCATACCCAACCCAATTGGATTGGATGGTAAAAAACCCATGGATATGGGCAAAATTGTCATCCATACTTAGAAAGAGTAGTACTGTTGGAACTAATGCAACTAAGGTCCATATTATGAGCGGTATCTTTAGTAATTTGTGAATCGTAGGGCTTATAGAAAATTCGGACTTTTAAATTGTAAATGGTTTTAGCTTATTGTTTTTATTGTCCTTCTCCAAGTACAACCGGTATTTCAGATTGAAAATAGTATGCATTTGTGTGGGTGATCAACAGCAGCAACTTGCATTTATGAGTTATGATAGCAGCATCTTGCATTTTGGTGAATAACAACAGTAGCTATATTTTCATGAATAACATTGCATTTATATTTTTATGACCACAACAATAGGTAAAAATTCAGTTTATAACCTTTATATATAGTGAATAAAAACAGTAGCTAAACTTCACCGGCCAAAGGCCGGGCCCAATTGCTAGTTTATCATTAAATAAATTCATGGGCTAAGATCGGGGCTAACATAAGTTGTCTTAATCACATAAATAAGTCAATCTCAACCATTGAATCTCATTAAAATCTAATGGTTCAGATTTATCTAGTTTCTTGAAGGATAAAATAGTAATTATATTATTTATTTATTTAACAAATAAATAAATAAATAAGCGCTTGAATATAAAAGCGCTCCCCCTCCGGCCCCGCGCTGTCCCTCCGCCCTCCCACCGCTCGTCCTTTCCTTGGGAATTCTCCCGCCGGCGTGGTGGGATTTTTTTGTCCCAAGTGGTGTCCCGACCTCAACACATACGAGAGAGAGAGAGAGATTTTTTAGAGAGAGAGGAGGTTTTTTTTTTAGAGAGAGATTTTTTCTACTGGCCGGAGGCGACTTTTCCGACGACCGGAGGAGACTTTTCCGCGACAGTGCTGGATTTGTACTGTTTGTCGGTTTATTTTGTAATGTTTTTCGTTTTCTTTTGTAATGTTTGTAAACTTTGTTATTTTTGTGCACCATGTTTATCATTTTTGTCAACCATGTTTGTAATGTTTTTTAAGTCTAACCGACAAACATTACAAAATAACAAAGCATACAAACATTACAAAATAACCCGACAAACAGTACAAAGCATACTAACCGTACAAAATGTCACTAAAAAATGACAAACAATACAAACCGAATCTATACAAACATTACAAAATAGGTCAGCAAACATCACAAATCCAACACTGTCGCCGGAAATTTCCTCCGGTCGCCGGAAAACTCTCTCTCTTACGTGGGATAATTCCCTTTCCCACAAAAAACACCCACTGGCCTCTCTCTCCCCAAAACAATTGCACGCAAGGGGAAAAAGTTCCCAGGCGAATTGCGAAAAAAGTTTATGGCTGACGACGGGCTGCCCGGCGGGGAAAAGAAGAGACGAGACGCACGGCGGGGAGGGAAGAGTCGGAGGACAAAAATATTTAATAAATAAAAATAAAAATAATCATGCAATTACTGTTTTGCCCTTCATTAAATTAGATTAATTGTAGTCATTGGATTTTAATGAGATGCAATGGGGATTCATTTAGTCATGTGACTAAAGGACCCCCTTAATCACATGATCTTAGCCCGTATCTATGTACTACAACCTGAATAACAAACATGACAACTACACAATTGCCAAACCTAACACTGTGAACAACGCAGGGCAAACACAAACACACTAGAGAAGCCAAAGAAGACGTCGTGCGTGAAATGCAACGTTCTAAAAACGAAAATCAAAACCTCGATGTTTTGCATTTACACAAGGCGCCTTCATCGAAGGCAAGCTAAATTAATGAAGGGACAAAAAAGAAGACATAAAGTTAAACGAATACAGTCTCCTGTAAGAATACATTCAAACTTTTGCATCTAGCAATCGATTACATGGAAGAAACAAGCTAGCAACTAGCAGTATCCATATGTTCACTATTCCAACTGTGAGTTGTATGTGGACTGGTTCAAAACAGCTACAAAAAAACTCGCTGGCTTCAGTGATAAACCGCCGGAGCCCTGGCATTGGATTGGGATTGTCATATCAAAATCATCCACATCCTACCTAAAAAATTGACAACACCTGAAAATAACAAACATGGTTTTGTCCGTCAGGGACCCCTGAAAATTCCAACTTGCATATGCAGTTCAGGAGAAACTTCCAACAAAATGGACACTAGATAGACATGGAAATGATGCATTAGGCACACCAAAGCAAACAGTTAAAGCGGTAATGTAGCACTAGGAATCTAGAAATGAGAAGGGCAGAAAGTGAAATGTTCAACTTTCCCAGATTCGAATTTTACTTGTAGAATGTAGATAAGGATGCATGCATTAATTACCTCAAATTCATTGTACAGAGTGTATGAGCCGAGAACTGGTTCAACATTCCTGAAATATTGTCACAGTTTTGAAAAAGGTCAGGTCAATCCACTCGGCGTCTGGGCAGTGATAGATCTCAATCAGCTCCTGCTCCAAACTTCTTTGCCAAGAATTCATCAAGTTGTCCCCAGTTAGGGGTACTGGATTCACTGCTCGAGTTATTATCTGAAGGCAATGATCTAATGCATCCAAGAATTTGAGCAACATCCCTATGCAGCCTGGAGTACAAGAACACCATGTTTCAGCAAAAAAACAAACTGCTGAATAGAATAAGACAGCACAAAATCTTCACAAAGTTGGGAAGGAAGCAGCACCTGTCCTTTGCTTGTGGAGTGCTAATTTCTACCCGTGAAAATGCCTCAGAAATTTGAGAGTGGAATATTTCAACAACTTGCCTGCAGAAATACAAATCAGAAACACCACCCCTCACCATAATGTTTCGGGATAATAAATGGCATTCCAATTTTTGTCGAAGAAAGTAGAAACTTGCCTGAAAATCGCTTTGACATCAGACTCATGCAAAGTTCTTGACAGAACACGTTGAAGATACCCGACCTCCTGCGGACACAATTAACGAATATATACTTCTGTCAATAAAATATTTTGAACGAAAGCTAAGAGAACGAAAAAATGCATATGGAACCTAATTAAGAACATGGTGGTTACCTTGGTAAGGGATCGAGCAAACTGACTAGGTTGTGGGTCAGCATCTTCTGGTCTGTTCCAGCCCTCTACAATCTGAGGCAACCCTCGTAGATGTACAAACAATCTTTCTCTCATTATCTGGACCAGCTTTGTGTGTATTTCATCTCGGTGAACTTTATAGTCCTGAAATTGGAAGGACTCTCAAGAAGTTGCAGGTAACATAAAGTAAATGATAAAAGATATGCACAAAGGCTCAAGACAGCAAAAGTAGCAGCAGCATGCATTCCAAGAAGATCTTTCCAGTTCCATCTTTTTTCTTTCAGAAACTTGGACCAGCCATGGGGGAGGGAGAGGAAAGACAAACCCGCAACCAAAAGATCATTTCAAGGTCAACAAAATACAATTTCAGATGGTAGCAACTCAACTTCTAGATGACAGAAAGATTATGTAATTGAAGTCCAACTTTGGTACTCCCCAACATGGAACGGACAACGTAAACTATACACTGAAGCAAGAAATGCACATCAGTAATAACAAAAAGCAAAATCTCCTCAGTACCTGTGCGACCCGGTCTATCTCTGATACCAGCAAGGCCTTCCGTGTCTCAGGTACCTTAAGGAATAGAACCTGCCTGATTTCTTGGTGCAGAAACAACATAAACATACAACCGTTCAGAAACTTTCAGCTCAACACATTCTTCTGCCTAAGCTCAACAATGACACTGTGGAATATCACAGTCGAGTTGGGGTAATTCTTAGCTCAAACAGGAGTTAAGATGCTAAACTAAGGTCACATCAACTGCAGACCACAAGTCATTGCAGCAACATGGCAAAGTAGGCTTGTTGATTACAGCAGAGTAAAAAAAAGCCGCATTCATCATTGTTGCTAAAAGAGTCTTCGGTTTATGCATATGTGACAATTGATTGGTGTACGAGCTTTTTCAGCCTTCAGATATTGTACCCTTAACTACATCAAGTGATAATCTTTTTGTTTTTCATAACCTCACGGCAAGAGGAACTTCTAGATATGCATCATAAAAATGCAAAAGAAAAAAAAAGAGTACTAATTACAGATAGAACAGAGGCATTGGCTTTTGGATAAAACAAGTCAAGACCAACTAACCCAAGGGCTCATGTTGTATGGTGGAAAAATAACATGGATACGATATCATATATTTTGCAATGTTGTCAGAATTGAACCGGAGTATGAGCAGGTCTAGCGAATAATTCACACTTTACTGGTTAACATATATTAAACCGTTAAAGAACCTGTTCCTCATAAATAAAATATTATTATAAGTACAAATTCCATATATAATATAATGACGGTTCCGTCGTTAATGCACTTACTTTTTTGGAGCATATGCCTCATAATCGTCATTCTAAGTAGACAATTCATGTCAAAACGATATTAATCATCACTTGTGATGTGATGGACAAGAAAATACAAGACTTTGTACAAATATGATTCAAAATTTACTTTGATTTGAAGGTTTTAGGGTTATGGTTTACAATTTGGGATTTAGGGTTAGGGTTAGCATTAGGGTACAAAATTGAAGGTTAAATCTAAGGGCAATGCATCACTAAAAAAAATCTAAGAGCAATGCATTGATTAGTTGTGATATTATGTTATATCATTATATTCGAATAATTCTACAAATTAAATTTTAAAAATTAATGTATTTAGACTAATCATAAAGTTAGGTGTATAGTATGCACTCATTTTTTAGTGTAACGAAGAAGTCACCATAATGATTTAAATAAGTCTTCTAATATTGATTTTAAATATTTTTTATTATCTTCTAGTACATTTATTATTCCTTCTTGATATTCACTTATGATTTTTACTAAATTTATCTATTTTATTGAAAAAATTTCATTAGTCTTTAGAAAGTTTTCTAATTTATATATTAGATAATACTTGTTAAAATATAGTTTTGGATGTTTTTAAAAGTTTTGGGTACCAAAAGATAAGTAATTGAATGAAAACTTAGATGGATGCACCTTTTGGTGACTTTAATGTTACGCGGCGCCCTATTCAAACTTAAGTTCTATGTCTACCAAAATTTTAAATTTTAAGTGCTACCCAAGATATTTTACCGAGCACGAGACACAATGTGCAATTGGGATGTTGTTCGTTCTTCTCTGTGAGGGTAATGGGCTCGAGTTTATTAACCGGCAAAACTTTTACGGACAAGAAGAAGCAGTCCGTCATTGTGGAAATGTGCAAAGACCGGTCATAACCGCTGTAGCAGTTCGAGCAGCCACCTCCCAGAAAACCCACTCGGTTCATTGCTGGCGGTTAAGTAAGCAGACCAGGTGGAATTGCGTCCGGCTGTAACATTTACCCGTCCAACCGGGCAGTTTAGTCCAGTCATAATAACAGTTATATTTTGCATGTTACTTAGTTTAGTATGTTCGTACTTCGTACCTTTGTTCATTCATTTTGCTTAGAGTCTGAATGCTGATCATATATTCAACATAGTTCAACTGGTGCAAACGTTTGGGTCAAGTATCACCTACCAAAAAATAGTTTCAACATAGTTGTAACGGACCACATTTCTCCAAAATTCATTTTTTGGATGATTACTAGCTTTGAACCTTGGGTTGTCATTCAAGATTCCAAATCTGTCTTCTTTAGTCTGACTGAGAAACCAGTAAGACAAAAATACTTCTTTACCCACCACCCTGCTACCCTCTTTCAAGCATTCTCAAGCACTCCACTTTATGAATTTGTAATTAGGGTGCATTTGATTTGCCATATTTGATAGTCACTGCTATTTGAACTGCATGCTACTAAGTGTGAGGTATTTGTTATTGAGAGATAGTTTGGTTCAGTGTATTAGTAAGAAAAATTGTACAAGAAAAGTTAAAGATGTGCACTCGCTTCTCTGAATTCGATATGTCAAATGCATCTTAGCTCTTAAGTCTTGAAATTGCATTGTTTTGGCACATTTGAAATTAGTTGTGTTGTTTTCATTGCATGCTATTGCAACTAACTTCTCAAAATAGACCCTAGCAAACGACCTCGAGGTGCAGAAACTATGATCACATCACATGCCTCAAATCAATCAGGAAAGTACAGCGGAATTGGATGTTATCACTCTAGATTAAATGGCATTGGCAGAGAAGCACACAACAGAAAAAGAAAACTACCATTGAAAAAAAAAAACTAAAACACTGATGTACATATCAATTTGGCAAAAGAAATGTGGGGAGCATCATACCAGGAATTATAGCGTATGTAAAACTGATGACTTGACTTGCAAGGGCCAGGTGTTTAGAAGTTATTGACTTCAATCCAGACACCTGCAGTGTAATGAAAAGTAAATGGAAACTAATGAAGACTTGCACAAAATGGAATGAAAAATACTGCATCTTCACGAAACATTATGATAACGGAGGCCCATCGGAGGAAGAAAAAAAATCAACCATAGAACTATTTTACAGACTCGAAAGAGTAAAGATTAGCAAGAAATGACTAAAAGCAGGCACCCATTTCCAGCAAAGATCAGGAAAGGGTAACAGAAGGAACCTGCATGGCACCGGCTCCAAGGACAAGTTGACAAGTCCTTGTGTTGAAGAATTTCAAAATCTCCACAACACGATGTACAACTTCTGAAGATAATGCGGGCAAATAGTTGTTCATATCAATGTACTCGGACAACATCTTCACCATTATTAAGCCACTGGAGATGAAAATAAGATAACAAAGAAACATACAATGAGATAAGCATTATAATAGTTGACAGTTTTAGGAACATTAAGAAACAAAGATTGTTAGATGGCAAACACAACGACACAGAAAGAAATGGTGAGCAAGTAACAATGCAAAATATAATGCCTTAACAGGGCATATAGGATATAGAAAACTAAAGAAGACCAGCAACGATAACAAGGACAACTAACCAGTTAACCATGTGGTAGCCAACACCTCCGTAGAAGAGTTTTTGAGAGGTAACTTTTCCACGATCCTTCGTGTTCTTATTGTTACCATGAGCTGATGATGTTACTACATCAGCTTTGTTACTTTCAGTTGTTTCAGACAATGGATGCAATTGTCCTTGAGTATTATTTAGCTTCTTAATTGAATCCTTCCCCACAAGTTGCTGTTGAGCTGCATGTTTTTCACTGTCAGGGACAACCGAACCATCACTGCTTGCGGAAGGGTGGCTAGCTGTAATATCAGCCTGTGAAGCATCTAGATCCGCAGACATCAGAGTTTCAGAAGAAAACACCGAAGTAATTATGCCCTGAAATTCATCAGGAACATCTACCTCCACCCATGTCTCTTGATCAAGTACAGCCTTTATTTTTGTCATCTAGAAAGAACGGGGAAGGTTAAAGCTTACGTTACTTATAGTTAGAACATCAAGACGTTCTTTAAAAGAAAATAAATATGAAAAAATGATGACCAACCCGCATCTCATGCTGCAAATCAACAAATGCTTTGGCCTGAGACTGTAATGTTCCACGAATACTATATCCCAATCTTCCACCAACCTGTTTGCAAGCAACAATAAATTAAAATGTAGTACATGAATACTGTTCAGGAAAGAGAAGCAACACACTCTGAGTAAATTTGTTCCTTCAATGATAGAGACAGAGGGAAACCCAAAGAAAACTGATGCTCATGCACGAGTCTCTCCGATGGTGAAATATCATAAAGAATAACAGCACTATGACACCAATTTCATCCAAGGGAATGGTCTTGGTATCACTCAAAGAAGAAAACCTAAAAAGTAAATACCTTCTCTGTGGCAGATATAAACTCTTGCGTGATGTTGTATATACTTAAAAATTCTTGCAATCTCAACTTGGGATGAAGAAGGGCACGAACTCCAAGGAGTTTTGCCCATCTTCCATGAGCAGCATCACATGCAGCAAATACAGCCTCAGCATTCTCCCGCAAAACATCAGCTCTGCAAAACAATGAAAGTTCGTTAAAACCATAGCAATCATCCCGTAAGTTCCAGGAGTAAGAAATAGGAACTTTGATGGAGAAGTGGGAAAAGCAGTTGAAGGTTCAGAGTTCCATTGTCGGAGTAACTGCCAACGACTTAAGTGCCACAGGAGTAACTACCAACAAGTTGGGTACGGCATCTAACTCATCCAAATGATAATGCCTAAAGAAAATGACAGTTCACATCATCCAGGGGAAATGCTCATCACCCCAAACATTACTTGTCACCTTAGTACCATATCAGTACCTGAAATTCCTTGACATACTTGATGCAGTCCCTGAATCATTGTTTCTCCCTTGAGATGATTGTACCTTTGTGGAACTCTTCTGGGTAAAAAATGGAAAGAGCGAACCAGCTTGACCATCATTCCCTTGAGTAGCTTCAGCAGCAGCGGAACCAACAGCAATTGCAGCAGCAACTGAATCAGCCGCATAATGTCCATCAAGGTTGTTCATGATCCATTCAATTGCTCTTTTCACTTCAGCAGCACGCATCAAATGAACCTGCATTCACTAAAACAAAACAAATCATATTACATCTTAGTTAGGGGAACTCAATAGATGCTAGAAGCTAAAAACAGGTTTGGACAGGAAAAGGGAAGTAAAACTTCTACATCAGAACTCGAAATGATAAAAAAGGAAAAAACAAAATATGATTTCTTATTCTAGAACACTATACAAATTTGCTTTCTTCCACAATTCCTTACACCATGCCAACCTGAGAGAGACCCCAACTTCCATAGACACTTCAGTCAAGAAAGTACATGCTGCTCAACCCAAGGGGTTGGCCTAGTGGAAATAAGGGAGGATAAAAATTCACCACGCCCTGGGTTCAAACCTTGGGGCTAATAATCATCTAAAACAAAAGGTAGACTGCTCTTTTCTCTTTGCAACTAATATGCAGGGATAATAACAACAGTGCCTCTTGTTTCACAGAAAACACGCCTGGTCATCTGCCTAAACCATTAGTTAGTTCCTATTAAACATACGACATCTGATTTGCTAATTTGGACAACGAAATAATAGTGACCTATGCCCACTGTAGTGATTGATGATGCATAGCTCATTATAGTGATTGAACAGGTTCACGATCTTACTATAAATCTAGGCATAAGTTAATGGGAGGAATTACATAGAAATCTCATGGAAGCAATGCCCTGATATATTTTCATTAAAAGGGTTTACAACAAACAGTGTTAAACAATGAACTGAAGAGCTGCAGTGACAATAGCGCATTCGGCAGACCCAAATCTTTGGAAGAAGAAGGAATTAGTCAAGTTCCATCATCCATTAGCTTCATTCATTACAATGTCCTGTTAAGGTACGGTACCTGTACAATCTTGAAAATAGCACCCAAAATCTGAACAAAACTTTCGCCTGACAAGCTCCTTAACTTGCTTGCAAGAGATAAACCTCCACCTGAATCATCCACCACAGTCAGTGAACCAGAACAAATACATATATGCATGTGTATATGCTTTACAACATTTGTTCATGGTGCTAATTGCATTTAAAGATCCCTACCATCAGCATCTACTGTTCGCTCTACAGGTGTGAAATCTGACTCCAGTGGTCTAGCAATGAGTATTGGCAGAAGCTCAGAAACAGCATTCTTAATGGCAGTTTTCATGTCAGCAGTCAAAGTGTCGCGATATATTCTCAAAACTGATGGGAGCTTAGCCTGTAACCATGTTTGCAACATGACAATCAACAACACTGAACTCAGAAAAATTCAAGGAATCTTGAATACACTGTGAAGTGACGTCGAAAAATACAGGTATCAGATATCAGGTTCGAGCAACATGATTTTAGCAAAACACCATACCAACCCCAAACCATCTTTTCCATTGCACCAAATTCATTATCGAGCTTTCTTCCATATCATCTCATATCTTAATGACACTTTCTCAGCTCCTTGAGACCAAGATGAGCTGGGGAAGAAAGCCCTGATAAAAGTACAAATCATCAACATGGAAAAATGCTTAATTATTTCCGCACTGTATTTCCATGAAGTTTAATTCACTGAAGGACTGCCGACAATCGATAGACCATAAGGAACCACAGTCGCTGGCCCCTAGCGTACTCCTTCACTAGCCCCCTGAACCTCCTCATGAAGGCAAGTTCCAACTCCATGCCGTAGCGGTGGAGGTTGGAGCAGCCCCATCCTTCAATTTTCGGGGGTAGTACCGCATTTTCTGCGTATGGCTAATCCTAAAAGATGGGTCCTGTGGAGAACAGGCCAGATCTCGAGCCCTGATAGGGCACTATCTTTCAACTTTATCTATGTGGCCACCTGATACATATGAGAGTCCGCCCACCATGCTTAGACATTCCTATTGCACTAAAATATCAATTTGCACAAAGACTGGCCTAATACAAAGAATTATTTGCCCAGTGAAATCACCAACTTGATTGAGAGCATACATAGACAACATCACATATACTTACTGTCCTCAGCAACCCAACAACTATTGGAAGAAGACGCTCACGGAAATTAGACGTTTCTTCATCATCCAACTTAACCTGTCAAGCAGTATGCAATATTCATCACTATAGAGAAAGAAGCATCGACCAAACAAAGCAATAGTAGGAAAATTCAACAGGATATGAGAAAGCAAAAGAAGTATTCCAACAACACACAACTTGGAATACGCTGTGTTAAAAAATATCCTCCTCCTACATTAAAAGAACCTTAATGATAATGAATGTCTACAAGTCACGAGACATGCATGAAACTGATGAAAAGATTTTTTATACAAAAACTATAAAAAGATTTAAATAACCCATTCTTTGTCACATAGGGAAATCAACTAAACCTGATCAAACTCACCTCATCAACTTTACCATTCGTTGGGCTGGAAGCCAAAGATTTGGCTTTGGACAAAATTATCACATCTGTATCTCCAGCATCATGTATTGAAGCACGCAAGAATTCGGCAGAAAGAATGCTGCAAAGGTGAAGGGCACAGGTTAGATAAAGCCAAAGAAGCAAGAGTACTACATTCATTTGCTAAGCAGTATGGCCTTAATATGCCTAACTTATATAAAGCATAAACCATACTGATCACAATAAAGTATTTAGAGGGGTGGTTATAAAATAAAGGCCGATTTAGAGTAAAGAATGCAGCCAAATTGTAGGATCACAACGCAAAAATATTTACTTTATGAATCTATTTGCAAGAAATTTACCTGTTCACAGAATCTATTGAAGCAGTAACATGATCGCGAAGGTGACGGAAACAATGAAGACCAGTTAGTTCATCTCCATCCTGGCATAGATGTGGGATCATTTATGTCTTTCCACAATCAAGTACCACAAGAAGAGGAAGGAACAAAAATTCAAAGAGAAACAAAATTTGGACCAGGAAATGGTTACCCTTCAAAAGCAAACTCCACAAGAATCTTACATGCTCAATAGAGTTACCAAATAAATGACTATGAACTACTGAAAGCTTACCAACAAATGCTGCAAATCGTCAGTAACATCCAAAGCACCAGCACAATCTCCTGATGCAACAAGCTGCAAGACGAAGGCATGAAATGCATTGCATTTCGGACAATCAACAAGATAACTTTATAAAATTTTCACAGCGCAGGAGGCTGCCACTCAAGACCCTGTTTTGCAAACCGAGGAATGAATGATGCTAGACTTAGACAAACAGTGTCCCCCTAGAATAACACATACTATAACATATTTGTAATGCAGGTCAGAAGCATAAGAAGAATTACCAATTTAAGGGCAGAAAGCGCCTGGTTAACATATAGTATAACTCTCAACTTGTGTTGTAAAGCTAACATATTGCCCCTGGTGCCATTCAAATCCTGAATTTCCCTGGCGGACTCTACTAAATCCTGATCCAGAAGTCTTATGGTCTCCTTCAACTCCCGAATCCGGCTACAACCTTCCACTATTCTCACATTAAGATCCTGCAACTCTCCCTGCGCCTCAAAGAAGGAATTAGACCGGAGCGAAATCTCCTTCACCAAGTGCAATTCCACCACATCCAAGTAATGAGACAGCTTCTCCTGCAAGACCAAGTTCTCCGAGACATTGGAGAAAGGGCAGGCGGCTCGGAAAGTTGGCCCATCTTCCAAAGCGAAATCCTCTTTGAAGTAGAGAGCCGGAACCTCCCTCAAACACGCTACGAGCGCCTCCCCTTGCCCCCCAATGCTCTCCAATTTAAGACTCTCTTCTTTGGTGGTGTGGTTCCTAATGTCCTCGAATCGGTAGTAGAACTCGGATATAGAAGACAAGTAGCTCTGGAAGTCGGATCTCGACACGTCTGAAGCCGCCTTGCTGGATATCAATGGCGTGAATTCCGGCGGCGCTACGGCAGTGGAAGAGGAGGACCACCAGCCCACCCAGGGCGCATCGGTGCCGTAAACGCCAGACTTGCCGACGTGCGGATTGTTGAGGATTGAAGAGAGGCTCTGGCTGCTAGCATCGGACAGTGAATTGGTCAGTGAGGAATTGGTTCTAGGGACGGCGAAGGACGAAGTTGTGGCCGTCGACGAGTCGGCCAGTGACGACCTTCCCGGAAGGGAAGGCTGCGAATCCATGTATTTTCACGATATGGCAACCATATGAGTTCAAATTTCCCCAGAAATACCAAGTTCTGGGAAGAGAGTGGAGATTAAGCTCCCACTGAGCCAGATAAACCCTAGATGGATTGAGAAGGGGAATTGCAGTCGACAATTCAGGTGATCCAATGATATCAGAGATTGAATCGACGACGAGGATCGAAGCAGATCTTACACAGGGAAGCCAATAGATAATGGAAAGGATTGCTTTTCTTTTCCTTAGCTTGCTTCGAAATCCAGAATGCAGTGACAAAGCTTCTGAGCGAAGTGCTAATGAGTCTAGATCTCGCTCGCTGAATATTCTGTTGCCTTGGTCCGATCCTCTTTCTGGTTTTCCGCCTCTCCACTGTCGAAAAAATGAAATATGCTCGCTGGCTGGATCAGCATTCATCAGTGGAAGAGGAATTGTAGCGGGTAGGAAAAAGTGGAGGGAGGTAGGGATGGCAACAAAACCCGAACCCACGGATATCCACCTGACCCAACCCGGTCAACGCGGGTAAAACCCGTGTTGACGGGTTTTGGGCTGGGTTCGGGTTTAAACCCGCTACACTATTCACCGGGTCGGTTTGGGTTTGGGTTTAGGTAAATCCGACCCATGGGTACCCGCCCACACACATATAATTACTTTCTCGGTATATTTAATATTCCAAATCATATATCTTCCTTAAACAATTAATATTCTTTATGATTGTGGAGACATGTATAATTTGTTTTTTCTAATTGTTTAGAATGAAGTTGATATTATGAAGTGGAGAGTGAAGAAACTTAGTTGACGAGGAAGAAGTTTTCAATTAATTTTTTGTTTATAGATGTTTATCTTTAATTTTGAATAATTTGTATTGATCATTTGCGGTTTGCTTGTATGCTCTAGATTGGTGTTTTTTTTATGATTAATTTGTATGAGAAAATTGATGTTAAACTTTTATTTTGAAAGAAACTTGTTATTGTAAATTTTTACCACAAAAACCCACGGGTACCCATGAACCCGCGGATACCCAGCGGGTTGGGTTGGGTTTGAGTTTTTCAAACCCAACGGGTTTTACCCCGGTTTTTTTTTGGTGGATAAACCCATAGGTTTGGGTTTGGGTTTGACAAAACCCGCCCCAACCCGACCCATTGCCATCCCTAGAGGGAGGAGAGAAAGGCAACAGGCTAGACCGGGCCAATGCTGCTGAGATGGGCCGGGCCAACTAATATTTTCAGGGTGAACTAAACCGCTTATGAAAGATGGATTTAATAAAAACTTGTTCAATTAAGAAAAATTTTGAGTTTTTTTTAGCGAATCGAGTTTGAGTTAAAGGTTATTCAGCTCGTGATACTTGTAAGCCAGCTTAACTAGGTGATTTATTGAGCTCAACTCATAAACTCTCTTATTTGGAGCTCATGAGATGTCTCATGTATGACATAGATTAGTTAATTTTATGTATCATATAATGACATATAAATATTAAGATTTGATTTATAAAATATCATAGAGTTGAGCTCGAGTCGAACTCCTGATCTTAATGATGAGTCAAATAGGTTTGAGCTAGTTCGAGCTCGACTCAATTCAGCTCGTTTATAAATGAGCCAAACTCGAGTTTAGCCCATTTATTAACGAGCTAAACCTAAAGACGACACAACTCGACTCAATTTATTAACAACTCTAATTGTCACCATCTTTAAAAAGTTCACCACGTTTAAGAGATGGTTTTTAAATTTAGGTCGGTAGCATTGGTTGAAGAGGTTGATAGTTAAGGCCCGTTTAGTATTTTTGTCATATTTTTGTGCTTTGATTTGGTTTCAACACCAAAGAGTAGGGTGTGGAAAACATAACAGATCGTCTTACAAATTGTGGATCAAACTGGAGAGTTTAGTCTGGATCGTAGATCGTTAAAAGTAGTCTAGTCTGGTTCATGATATGTGTTATAGAATGTATTGATCGTTTAGTCCAGTATGGTCTAGACTGTTGTCAACTCCTCAACGAGACCCAAGTCTCAATCATAATTGTGTGTTAGAAACCGATTTCTTTCAAATTTCTATCTTTATTATTATAATAATTATTAGGATAATTATCAATATCTTATAAACACACAAGATAAGTTTGTTTGCTAAATAAACACAACTAAATCCATATATTTATTCTTCTACATAACATAAACACACAAATAAGCAACCTGAAACCTCATAGAAATCACTTAATTATTAGTTAAGAGTAGAAAATCACGTAAGATCGTTAGGATCAACATTAACATCACTTACACATCATCATCATCCTCACCCTCACCCTTGTAGAATCCTTGTCTATTTGCCAGAGGAATGATATTATTACTCTCTTGATCACTTGAAGTACTTTCTCCATTTAACCATATTTCCTTTATCGCCATCATTTGGCAAAGATTACTCATTGTTTGATACATTCCCTTCTTAATTGATAAAAGGTCAGGGATAGTGGTGCTGAAGGATTGTGAGATGAATGAAAGCTTGCGATGGAATGAAGATCTGGATAATTGTGAGGGTGGTGGGAACAAACTACAAGCTGATTGGGAGGGCGGAATAAATCGTTGATGAAAGAAGTCGGGCGTCAACGTGCGAAAGAGGAAGATACGAGGTAGAGAATGAAAATAAATTGAGGGTCATCTTTTAGGTTAGGGTTGTATTGTTCATTATGTTGGGTCGGGGGAAGTACACTTGACTCGATTCACGGGCATAACCCGACTTGACTGACCTAATTTTACTATAATTTATATAAACCTTAAAATCGTACAAATCGTAGATTTTAAGGATTTTAGAGTTTTAAATCGAGATTTTATGGGATTTTAAGACTCAAAGATTTTACACTAAAATAATGATCGAAACCCAGAGGTAAGATCGTAACATTTTTAGATTAAAATCGGGATTTTGACTACATTGGGTGCAACTAGTTATGAAGCCCTAACTCTCTTAGTCGAACAATTAAGGGTTGCAACTATAAGCTAGGTAGCCTAGCCCTCTTAGTCATTCGGCTAAGGATTGCAACTAAAAGCTAAGAAATCTAGTTCTCTTAACCGATCAACCAAGGATTAGAAAAACCAATCCCTCAGAAGTTAATCCAGATGACAAAAGCGACCAATCATGATATTTGACGCTTGTCCTTGTTTGCTTAGGTGGGTGACACAAATTGGCCAAGAAATCCAACTCCTCAAAGCCTCTTACAAAAGGAGATTCTCTCCACCTAGGTCAAAATGACCCAATAATGAGTTAAAATTAGCAACACACAATCATTCATGAATAGTACCTCAAATATTATATATAATACAAATAAACACACATAGAATCAAGTTATTACATCCTAACACATATCTAGACTAGGATTCACAATACCCAAGTGAGAGGGAGCACTACAACATAGCTAGGTAAGGGAATACAACAAAGACGAAAGAAAGAACCATGGTCTGGTGACTATCCTCCTTGTTGCTTGAATCACCCTTGAGAGAATAAAGTCTTCAACCCTTTAGCTTAGGACAAGCCCAAATCTTCTTCTTCTTCCTTTGGTTCTTCACTTTCTCTCTCTTAAGAATAAGAAGAAGAAGAAGATCTCTCTCTCTCTCTCACTAGAATTCTTCCTCCTTTTAGGGGTTTTCAACTGAAATCCTATAAGGGAACCCTGAAAATCTAAAACCCAACCACGTTACAGCTCTCTCCTCTTTTTCCAAACTGCCTTCTCTTTATACAACCCGACATGCACTTTCACGCACGAATGTCATAACCGTGACAATGGAGCTCTAACCGTGACATCGTTCAAAACGCAGGAGACTGCTGTAGTTTCTGTCCGACATCACAGTCTCTGGGAAATTGCCATTGTCTGGTGACCGTGACAACCTTTAGGCCCGCGAGACGTAAAAATCTTCGGTTTCCAACAATCTTCACTCCCTCTGGTCAATTGTCACGACCTGGAAACCATGACAATCACGTCTAAACCGTGACATATGACTGTTCTTCACTTTTTGGCGCTTTTCGACCCCAATCGTCCCGAAAATCATCCTAGACCCTTACACACATGCTAGGACCTGAAATGTAACAAAAGTAGCATAATCTAGCGTAAAATAGGTCGATGGACGATGATTTGCAAAGTCAAACTATCAAGAAATGAGAGATAAAATATGTGTAATTAGCCCCGAATCAATTGAAAAGCAAATCACCTAACCTAACAAACAACAGAGTAATAATGTTCTAACCAAGATTTATTGGATTGGGCAGACGAGACACTCAAGGCTGTCGTGTCTCATCTGCCGGTCGAAGCACTACCTCTCTTTCCACAATTTTAGCACTAGTCGAATTTTGCCTACTCATCATAGGACGGGGCGGAAAGTATATATTGGAAGAATCTAAATTGTCATTGTTAATTTTTTTATCAATCACTATAGTGTTCTTTTGGGAAGAGTTACTCTAAAATTAGAGTTTCTTTCTAGCTATTACTCAGATTCAATTAGAACTTGCGGGTTGATTGGAAGATAAAAAGTTATATAACACCTCCAACTAGCTGACCTAATGAAGCATCCAGAAAGATAAACAAAAGATGACATCAAAATACTGGATTTGTATGCATGCTGATGAGTTTCAGTTCAAAGGAGAATTTGTTGAGGGTTGAACCCTATGCACTAAGAATAAAGAAGCAAAAGCGGAAAATTCAAATATCAGGTTGAAGTCAATAATGTGTCGTGTGTAAAAATTTGTTTATAGTCCTTGTGTTTTAATTTATTGTATTTGGGTCTTGAGTCGTTTGTTGAAAGCTTTCAGCTCAAGTAGCTAGCTGGTTGTTCACGTGAGCTATAAATAAGGGATATGTAGAGGTGGCAATTCTCAATCCAATCCACCAATTCAATCCATCAATCCATTAAAAATATGCAACTAATCCAATCCACTTAAATCCAATCCATTTGATCCAAATCCAATCGGATTGGTGGATTCATGGATTGGTTCATGGATTATTGGCAAATTACGGTTTAGTACCTATAAATTTTATTTTTTACATTTTGGTACCTAAAATTTTATTTTTTATACGAAAAATATCATTGGAAAATTACGCTTTGGTACCTAAAATTTTCATTATAACATGTTAGTACCTAAACTTTTTACATTTTACATATTGATCCTTGATTGAGGATGTCATTTGGATTAATGGATAATCCACCAGTCCACTTGATCCAATCCATTTGATCCATGGATCTACCAATCCAATCCAATTGCCACCTTTAGGGATATGTGATTAGGGCTGTTGATGGAGGACGATGTTTTTATACAACATTAGATACTTATGTTTTATTGTTCATTTCAATAAAGAATTTGTTAGTTTGTCCTGCTTTTAAGTCTATAGGGGTGGGATTGACATGCGATAAGAGTAAATTTTTGGGAAATGTAAATGGTTTCATGTGAAGAACAAGCTTGGAGATAGAGTTTGAAGATATAGATCAGATTTCTGCATTCTCTCTGTTCTCTATGGAGTAACTTTCCTTCACTTATGTTTTGAGGAATCCTAGCTATGTTTTCTTGATTGGATGATCGTATGAGTACTCTCTCTTGATTATCTTGAGTTCCTATTCAATCTATGAATGATTTCATGATTCAACTCTACTTTAATCGAGTTTATTGATTCTGCTTTGATTCTATGAGAGGGAATACCTGATTAGCTCAATAGAGCACCATGTATTGTAAGTAGGGGATCGATAACACGAGAGTGAGTGGATTCAATGTTATGTATTGAGTGAGAACCTCGCCCAATAGAGGGAGCCTAAGTTAAAACACCTTGATCAGTTGTTCAAGAGAAGGATACGTCCATATAGGCACCGAACTCAAGAGGGCCTTGATTACTTCCATCGATATTCAAGGTCTGGTCGAGGATTCTTCTTATTGTGAATGAATAGTGAATCAAGTTAGAGAATCAACAATCATTAATCTGGTTAGTGGTACGAAGAATCATAACCTGAGTGAGTACCCAACCTGTAATTAGATTAACTTTTACTGTCGTTTGCTAGAGCTGTTGTAGTTCTTTTATCTAATCTGGTTTGCTAAATAATAAACTGAAGCTGAGTAATAGTAAAATCTTGAGACTCATGGATTCTATATTTATTATTTGTGACACTATAGTGCGATCTTGTCATTGTTTCACTTGGCATCGTCAGGAGTGTAGATTTAGCGAGTCAAGTTTTTGGCGCCATTGTCGGGGA